TTCCGCGTCAATCATAAACAACAAGAACATGCACAGAAACTGCTACACTGTTATAAGAAAAGCTTGACATTAAAACAGTCATAAATGCCTGTTAACCTTTCTGATGAAACAGTAACAATTGGTGCAATAATTTCGTGATTCATGATTGAAAGCACCCTAATAAAGCAGTGTTGATTACCCTACATAAGCAGCGATGTCTTTTCCGTTGCGAATATAGTCAGCAGGATTGATTATCATTAACGATGTATTATAATCATCGACATCGTCAGCTTATTCCGACCCACTGCTGAACGAAAGTTTCTGCGAGACTGTTATATACTTCAGTTTTCTGCGATTTTTATCCGACATGATCCAACCAACTTCTTCTGCTCATCCTGCTATCCATTTGGAGGTCTTCTTACGCGCTTTTTATTATCTCCCAGAAATCGGATGTCTCTCTGATACAGCGACGGTCAACTGTTCTTACAACATGCCCTGCCCATTGCTACTTTAACTTCTTCACTCGGGCAATAACATCGCAGACACCTGTTTGTGTTCCAATCCATTTATTCGTCATTCTATCTTCTTTTCTTATTCCCTAAATACGTTTTTCTATGCTACGTGTTTAGTCAGCAGTTTCTGAATAACCATCAGACTTAGGTCCCATGTCTCGCATCCATGGACTAGCGCACGCTGATCGAAAACTTCCGCTTCAAACACAACGGTAGTTTCCTTAATACTGAGCATTTTCAGTATTCTAAGTTTTCAGTGCCATTTTTATTCTTCTCCTGATTTCAAATGGTCCATCCTCTGTTGGAGAGATGAGTTGTCCCAGATGAATATGATTTTTCACTTCTTCAAGCCCAAGTTCGTTGACTTCAACAAGTCACGCAGCAACGTATTTGTTGATATGTGCTGAGTCTACTTCAGGATCATTTTCAGTCCCATTTTCATATCGCATCATTCAGCCCTTCGATTATTCTTTGGGGTTCCTTTGATGCCCTTAAAAAAATCAAAAGGTCATCCTCAAGCCGGCGGTGCCCTAATTGGTACTGAATTATGTTCAGCTCTTGACAATCTCAACGTAGTGCCTTGAAAACTTCTTCTATGGCTGCTGTGAATAATTTCGGTAATACTGCATCAGTCTGTCAAACGGCTGTTCATGCAAACGTCGTTTCCTTGTAATAGAACAAACCCGGAGTCGGTTTAGCTTAGTTCATTGATTACTGCCAGTTTTAAGCGCATATTCGGCTGCTGACATTCTTTCCTGTCTAACATCGTCAAGAAAACATGAAAACCGTTTCGATCACTGTTGCAGCTGTCATTCTCATTTACGTCCCGGTTTAATGTGGCAAGCCGAAAATTACGATTTAAGACATGCTACATGACATGTATAGCCGATACATCGTCCCGTTATTTCTGACATACTTGCAGGGTATATTATAGCACATTCAAAATGGTGGTAAGTCCTCAGACGGAAAGACGGACTTGGTGAGAAAGCTGACTTTACAGCCTAGTAGCACTTACCATTGCAGAGTTATCATTGTATGCTGATCACTGTTTCACCACTAATTACGTACTATGCAAAAAATCGGTAACCATCACATGGCCGCTGTTAATGTTTTTCATCGCATGCAAGTAATTCATGATGAGGTAGTGACTAATATACGATAACAATTAACAGTGCCTGATCGACTCTTTTCATTATTTTTGATTGATACTGTAACACTATTAACCACTACCTAATCAGCAATTACGCACATTTTATTCATGCCACACAAATCTTTCTTTAACCTGACTCATCTAAACACGCGGAACTACAACTGCAACCTCATTATTCCCGCTGTTCAATTCAAACGTCGGTCATCCGGGTTAAATATATGAAACGCGCTAGTGTGGTCGTTAATGACGGGTTGACAGGGTCTGATCACATGGTTCATGTCATCAACAAGATGGAAAAAATTAACTCGAATCTTCGCTGTTTACTGCTGCTTTGAGTTCGTTTTACTTTGCGCTAGTGCAGTATAAAACTAATTATCCGCCACACTTCTGTAGTCTATTTTCAAGCCTTAATGAAAGGTTTTTTAGCACACGTGCGGTGACGGAGAAAGTAATCACGAGATCTGGAGGAGTGCAATATGATCTCGTGGGTAAAACAATTTCGTTGGAGAGTTTATCACAGTTTTGTCTTCGTCGCTGAATGTATACTTATTGCAAGATACCACCCACCGGCTTTACACAGATTTGGCAGTCGGCTACACTCAGAGTAACGCTACACGAATAAACTTCATCAACCCAAAAACTAGAACTGAGCTTCAAAAGAACTGAAAATCAGTACTGCCGCGTTTATTTAGTACCCTCATAATCCCCCTGTCGTTTCTTGCTTTCTAAATGTCAGTAAAGCAGTAATTCAGTCAGTCAGTTTCGACCACCGATCGTCTTTAGGAGTCGTCGTGGTAGATGAGTCAAACAGTGTCTCCCACGCTCCCGAACATGCATCAACGTTTTAGCTTCGGCAGAATACAACCTGAGTCTGGAACAGAGTCCTCCCATACACTTGCATCAGGCTGTTCTTGGCCGTCCCCGGGGTGTTCCGCCAGTTCGTTGGACAAGTCATACCTGTTTCGCCTTCCTTTCTGGAAGCTCTCCCAAGACGTGCCCAAACCATAGCGGCTGTGATTTCTCAGTTTGTAGAAAGGGTTCTTGTACAACAAGGCCCCTTCGGATATTTGTACTTTGGAACATGTTGAGACACGTGAGCCCAGCGATTCGTCTTAGAAAGCCCATTTAAGCTGCTTGCTTCCAGGATCGAAGTTTTACAGTCATGGTCCATAACTCATGACCGTAGATAAGCATGGGAATGAAGAGCGACTTGAACGTAGGGAGCATAGACTTCAAATTCACACCTGCTTCAGGGTGCAGGAAGAAGCATATTCTTGCCTAGCGTTAACAAATACTAAATATATAATGTCATGGGCTATACACATGAACCATATGCATAAAGTTAAAAAAGGAAAAAATATTTTAAAAAAATAATTACCGGCCGCAGACTTCTGTCACCCCGTCACCTCGGCGAGCGCAAAGCTCACATACACGATAATCCTGCGGCATTACAGCTGGCTGCCAGAGTATGGCGGACATTTCCTTCCACAGCTAAAATCGACGGTATGTTGTTTAACGCGAATGAAAATGAATTTTTAAAAAGTGCACGTTTACTATCTCAGCGCTGGTTCCGATCTTCAGTCTAGAGTAGTTCCGTTGACGCGAGTCGAAAACCTGCCACCGGCTGCCTTTCCATTTGTTCTCCGTTTTCATCTCCTGAACAACAAGACAGTTAAAAACCTACTGGAACAAATGGCAACTGTGTCTATATTCGTTGAAGCGCAACTCCTTGAGAAGAAGAATATGACCGCTGCTCAATATTAACCAGAAGAATGGTTTTAACGGTCAGACATCGAATATGGGCTGCTCAGCCGTTACGACAATTTTGTTCTAACAACCTGGTTCTTAGATGATGTCAAAACAACAACGTCAATACTACAGGAGTACCTTTTAAAAAAATAGTATTTAAGACGAACAACGGCTTCACAAAGCGAAACCGTAAGTTACCGAAAATTTATTGATAACTTCGTTCAAAGTTTGGGTGCGTGCATGATCATAACATAACATGTATTTGTCTTCTTTGGCCGTACAAACGTCATAACAGAACCATCGAGAAAGCGGCAACGACAAGCCACCATGAGCCGTCATTCACATCGAGAAAGTAAAGAATCTAGGAATCAGTTTCATTGGACGGACTACATGACGAAACGAACCGTCATAAATTAAATGTGAAATAGTAAACCGTAATCGACAGAACAACAGGTACTCGACGTTTACACCAACCAAAATCGAATACTCTTGTTAAAAAATATGGCACATAAGAAGCAGAAATAATGTGTAATTCGTTTTAAACCATAGTTTTTTCCAAAAGCTGTTTTACAGTAAATTTTAAAATAAAAATTTTTTCAAATAAAGTCCATTGCAGATTATCGTCATGATGACCAAGAACAAGAATACCAAGTGAACTTATAGAAAGCTGTTCGATCACACACCTTGGTTACGATAGCTTGTTCAGTTTCTTTTGCTGTTTCGTTTGCCAGAAGTTTTGGTAAATCGCGGGCATGAAACACTTTCTCTCGCATGCCACTCGAATACGGCCGCGTGCAGCCGGCGGCGACACGGACGATGCAACGCATTATCGCCTCAAACTTCACGTCATCTATTGCTGAGCTTGAGATGATGGCAGGGGTCGAGGTCGATACGGGAGCGGCTTCTGGGTGTAGGCTGCCGCGACTGAACTGACTGTTGTTGTTGTCATTGGATGACGGTAGATGAAGAGCGTTGAATAATTCTAGTTCTTCGCCGTTACACTCTTCATTTTGATATTTCTTGTCCATCTCCTGTGAACCACTTCATAATTAAAACCGCTGTTCACGGACAGACAGAAACATATGAACATACGCACACAATCTCTCGAATCATATCATCAACGGTCAGCGTTTCACACAGTCAGTATCGATCAACTTTCCACAACAACAGCAACAACACAAAGCCAGCCGAAAGTTTCGGAGTAAACATTAAAGTTAAGTTTAAAACGGAACAGAAGAAATATCGTTAGCTCCATCAGGTATGAAAGTGTGTACAAGTGAATGTGTCATCGCATTATGTAAATAGTCCAAGAACACTGAAAAGAATGGACGACGACTAATTAACCACGTGGTAAAAATTTTGCTGATATGTGAAGCAAATTATATATTCCGCACGCTATATGGAGTCAGATTTCAACTAACGTTACAACGGTCTTCAGTCCATAAGTCAAAACTCAAAATACAACGCTGCATTCACTTGTGCACAACAAAAGTCGACAGTAGACCATTCTCTAGGACCCTTACCATCCAGGCAGCTTTAGTAAGTTAGTCCGAAACAAAATTTAGTTTACTCGGTGTAAATTACTTATTTTTTTATCTATCGATTGAAATGTTGGTTTGTCATACAAGAACGCATGCCTAATATGCGCTCAAGGTCCACTGAACGAGAAGGTGTCAATACAATAATGTTAATCTGCTACAGACACAATAAGAAACAGGTCAATAAACACAATATTCAACTATATCGTTATCCGGTTAAGACATTAACGATCCTAATTCTGCTGCTTGCCATTCACGTGTCCAAAACATGTGTGCCGCTGGAGGGAAATAAAAGAAGAATCTTATCAGGTACGTGCTATTTTACAAAGTATACAATACGAGACAGAACAAAGGAAAGTCGAGTCAAATGGCATCCTGAAATAATGATACAGAAGTAACTCTGAGCAAAGTTTCTGACATACGTACAAGAAAAATAGAGAAAGAGACTAACCTTTAAGAAAATCACCCAATAACCTGTGACAGACCGGTAAAAGGGCCAGAAACGAACAATAGCAATACGTCTACAACAAATAAAAGTGGAGAAACACATGGACTCGAAGAGGCTGGAAGATTGGAGGTGAAACAATTGATTGCTTTTGGCACAATTCCTTGTATACAGTTATGGAAATATAACAGAACGCATGGACGTCACAATATTACAGCACCAATTAGATTGTGTAGCCGCTAAATCAGATATTTGAGCTCTACATTAAATCGTTTAGTACTGAGATTGCATTTTAAAGTATTCTAGAAAACGTGAAGCTGTTATAATATGAAACAGTGACAATTTGCAAAATAACAAAATGCCAACTTCAGAAGTCCACTCTCAACCCAAAATCAATACAGTTTTACTACTACCACTATAATTATTGCTACTACCACGGCAAATATTCAGTCCAAATTTTTAAACCGTTCGAACTGTTCCTGAATGAAATGATTCAGAAAGATTTTTGGTCTTACTGCGAACCATAAGGTGATGTCCGTAATGGACCGATGGTAACGAATTCCGTGATTCACTGAATAAACGAATATCAACTCCTCAGAATGCATGAAAATACCAGAAACAGGATATCGATATAGAAAAAATGAAATAAACAGACCTCAGATTTCTACGTGATGAAAAAGGACAAAATTAAACAGCTATTGCTGTATAAACAACAATCTCATTAGAAAGATAAATCAGCAATCAACCTTTTCAATCCATGATAAAAACGTAGGAAAACCCTAAACAAAATGAGAAGTACTGCATAAATTCATAGATGAAATATTCTCCATATCCTCTACCAAGGAAATAGTTTCTACGGTCGACTGTTTCAAAGCTTATAAAACGTATAGTTTTGTTACTTTACACATATTCTGGAAAAACCCATAAGGGTTATCATTCCCATTTTCCCATGGTCGATAACATCATCACCGGCTTAGGAACATGAGGTAAAAAATCTTTCGAACGAGGTGTCAATTAACTGCTTTTCGACATAGAAGTTGTCAGTCATACACGGCTAAGCTCACTCACCACGAAGCCTGTTCATGGTTTCACTGGATGCGACATCTTCGTCTAAAAGTACCGACTTCAATCCCCCCGGCACACGACGACCACCTGCATAATTGCAATCGCGTAAGAGAAGGTGTCACAGTTGGTGAAACACTAACTTGACTTCTAACAATGTTACTCCGCTGATATCATTTTTCTGATTATGTTTTGATAGAATCATACACAGGGAAAAACAGGCTGGCTTTACCTGTCGGAGTTACGCTGACAGAAATATGGGCGACCACGGAGATATTACAGCATCTTCCCACCGTTCTGTCGATTTTATACTTTATCATTATAGCCTTATACTGGCAACGTAACAAAGCTAATTGTCTGAATGTAGTGTTACACTGTTCCAGCTGACCGGGTAGTGGTGGTCAGTGAATTTCGTCTCAAAGCAGGAGTCAACATTATATCAAATTTCTTCATATTCCAATGGGGCACAACATCCCCGTGTCCTTCGCGTTTTCGATTTGTACACCCGGTACTTAAATCCTTCATCTCCTACCATCTGTTCACGTTAATAAGTGCAGGTGATATGGATGACTTAAATACTGCACTACTCAAGAATTTCTTTCAAAATTTATCAGACATCTTAACACGTCAGAAAAAATTTTATCGGGATAATATAATGAGCAGTGCAACTGTCATAGCAATTTTGGGTCTGTTCTTACAGTTAATTGAGGTAATCCAAATAATATCTGACAGAACCGGCTGAACTTCAGAAAATTATCTTAAAGAGATTTTTCAGGAGGTTATATACGGAGTGCCATACGCAACGTTCAAGAAGTTTGATCTTCGTCTTCTCATGAAAATTAACAGTACCTCTTACTCCAACAAATGTTAAGAATTCTCATCCCATTTAGCCGTAAAGAACGAAGTTTACTTTTAAACGCCGTAACAACAATTTTGCAGTAGGACCAAGAATTTGGCAGACCATTATCTGCCTTCGTCAGACGTATATACAATTACAGAATCAAAATTCCACAAAATTGTTACCACCGATCGTAAAAATAGTTTGTTTTGTTCGCTGCACATAAACTATTCCACCCTACATGCATACTGTGACAAGACAACCCCCAAGATTATGTAACACGAATTAACGAAAACAGGAAAGCCTCATGAATCATCGAAAGATTGATTCTTTCGCTCATGCATTGGCTCAGATACAGGAAACAGAATAAAACGAGATATATTTATGCACAGCGCAAACAGGTGATCAATCGGATGATTGACCATTACCGACGTTTCACACAATTCTGGCTCCAAACGTAAGAATAGCTGTAAACGAACAAAATAACCTTCGCAGCCGAGTCAACCTTCTACAGTGAAGAAAGCCCGCGAGACATGAACCTAAACGTCTGCAATGATCAGCTGTTTGCACTGTGCATAAAAATAAACCGTTTCATGCTGTTTCGCTGACGAATTATTGTCCCAAACGTTTTACTTATGCCCTTTGTGCCTCAGAAAATGCTCTCAGCCAAGAAGCCAATGCCATCGTGATCAATCAGCATAGAAACGGAGTAAAATTGTTGATGAAAAAACCATGATTCGTTCATCTCTGCTAACAAATGCACAGTTCGCAACCGCAACATCAGCTGAACTGACATCTCTCAGGCATGGGACTTAAATGCATCGCGTATCTTGATACTTTGGCGTACATTAGATCAGCTCACTGTTTCTGTGAAGATGGCTGAAACTGAAATAAACAAACCAAAACGTCGTTTCCTGTTTGTGTTCATAACAACAAATGACAACAACTGGTCCCTAAAAGGCATAGAATCAATAGGAATTTTCGACGTGACGTATTTGTTGCTTTCAACAAAACCTGGAAATAACTACGCGATGCAAAACTACTTGATGCAAAGGTTCAATGAGCAGTGAACACAAATTTTCTACTCCGCGACGATCAAACGTTGCGTACAGTTATGAAATGCTTTCATTTAAAAAACGACCAAAACAAAGAAAGATTGCATAACGAGCATAAATGCGCTGTCATCACAGGGGATGCAACGTTCATTTGGCTGGCACAAGCACTTAAGATGCAAACGTGGTTTCAGTTTTACAGTTTAACGTCGTCAACAGTACACTGGCGATCTTACCGCACGGACTCAGCTCATTTTCAGGGAGACATATCAGAAAGTCTACACCCAACCGAAGAACAGAAGCAGATGTGTGTACATAAAATCATTTATACATCATCGTTTACAATATAGCAAACTCATAGCCACGCGTTCGTAAGATAAGTTTTGTCATTTCTTACGCCTTGTTCTCATGAGAAGCGATTGATGAAAAACGATCAGTTGCTGTTGTATAAAATGAATAAGTGATTCAATGAAGAGTGAACTTCTAGCGAATTACAACCACTTCTTCGTTTGACTGCCCTTACGATCAGAAATGCGATATGGTACTCGATGATAACAACCACAAGGCAAAGAACAAAGGCATCATCAAAAGAAGAAACCAATTACTTTAAGTTCGATAGCAGTTACGCGGGTTTTAGTATTAAGTGCGAACTGCGTATAACAATTGGAGCTGCAAAATACCATCTCATCGGAACCCTATGCAAATCAGAACATTATGCGGGTTAAAGCAAACGACATGAAAGCGCTTACATCTTCCTTTGGAGTTAATCCAAGTTCAGCCAGCTTCTTGCGCACCATCGCTTGTTGTATGGACACCTCGCAGTGACGACAGAACAGCTGTTGCGACTCGTTGTACTCTCGGGCTGCGGCTAACGAACGAAGCGGATGAGTAATCGATAAAGCGGTAAGTAAGGGGCGGGATACGTGTCCCCCGCCGTAATCGTTATCGTCCTCACTACCTCGTTCCGGAGTCTGGGGTGGCGTATCCATCTGAATTTCGAATTGTTCGGGAACGTCTATGTTCAACAGGAACGCCAAGCCTCGCAGGACATTGTGTACGTTCGACATTGCGTCCGAATCAAGCGTCAGCGTCACATTCACTAAGCCGTCCGTTCCCTCGGTCTTCACCACCGTCGTCATTGACGTGTTGCCACCGTTGTTCGCTAGCATAGACTGAAAGCAAGATCAAATACGTAACTAGAGTGTGAAAAGTAACGTCGCATACATCGCTACACAACGCCTTGAATGGGGGGTCCGGTGGCACTGCTCGAACGGGAACGGCGGCAACAAGACGGAAATTTGGCGAAAGTCGGCCCTCATTACCGACTGATGGCTTTAGCGCCGGATAGTTGGGCAGCACCTCCTCTTCAGGACATTGCTGCGAGTTGTAGATCAACTCCGTAGGACTGCCGGTCGATCTGAAGTGTTGGTACACGTTCCGTTCAATTAAATCCGTTAGCCGCTATGAGTTTTTCGAAAACTACCTGTCGTCGTCTGCGATCGATGGCGAAATGCACTTGGCGACACCGTCGTTAATAAGGTCCGGAAAGCCACCGGTGCTGATGATCGGAACGGCGCTTGCGGATGACGAGCTGGGAACGCTACCCAAGGTCGGTGCAGATACCGGTGTAGCGGCCATGGCACCCACCGTCGCAGTCCTATCCACGCCGTCCAGAGGTTGCGAGTAATAGTCACCGATGAACGCCAGCTGGATGCGGCCGACTTTGTTGCCGATCACGTAGTTCTTGTCTAAATACACGAGTTCCGTACACAAGTCGAGTCGAGCACTACACGCTTACGATTAGACAACGGAGTGACGCCGTAGAAGTGCGACAACAACGGATCGTCCTTGGGGACCGGTTCCTGAATTGGCAACGGTGCCAGACATCGAAGCTGCATTGCGACTTGCTCACAGAAGGCAGAATAACTATCGAGCGAGAGGCACTCAACGTTTTTCACCTTGGTTGCTTTGCGCTGCCGCTTGCGAGGTGAGGTCGGAGCATTCCACGAGGAACGACGTTTCGAGGCGTCGTTAATTTCCGCGTTTACAGCGAACCGCTTGCAATCACTAGCCTAAAATATGAATGTTTACGGCCAACCTCCGGCGACAAAGTCGTAACCCCTAAAAGATAGCAGCAAAAAGCGAAAGCTTAATTCTAATCTCTGCTTGCTGCTGGCAGCCTCTTCGACTGCTGTTCATATTGTCGAAGTGAAGTTGATATAAATAAATACACAAAATCTGGCTGAAACTGTAAACACTACGGAAGAGATAGTACAGTCGCTGTCATGCATATTGAATTTGACTCGATTAGTCACAGAGTTAACATGAATCATCGACTGATCAGTGTATCCTCCCGTTATGCGAATAAACTACTATAACAACCTATACGCGAAAAACAAAGCTACGAAGAGAAATACTGCGCATTTCCCTGCAAAAGAAAAAGCTCAGATAAACACAAGGTTTCAGTCCGTTTCAAACAAAGCACAAAGTTAATGTCTATAAAAGTATCTAATGGTTTTTTAAATGTTAATGTCTTTGTCGTACATCCAAATGTACCCGGTCAGAATGCAATTATACAAAACACATCTACGACTGAACACACAAAAATATGACTTATCAGTACCTTTCTCCTGTTTTCCTCCGCTTCGACATCTCGTAGGGATACGGGAGAGTCTTGCAAAAGCGTTTTGAGCAACGTGTTTGCCCCGTCTAAACAAAACAAAAATATTATAAATCAATAAACGCCAGTAATTTAGTCAGCATTTACTGGACCCTAGCTTACGAAACTGATGAAAGATAGGGGAAGAAATCCAAACGGGTTTTTGCATAGGTAATTTCTTCACTACCATACCATACAGTTTTCTAGTTCTCTGTATAAACACTATTTCAACCATACTTTACGGACTGCACCACCGAATCCTATACAAACACATTTAATTTAAAGGAAAATTTCCCTAAAGCAATGCCTTATGTACAGGTATGAGAAAACAAAGATGTACTTTATTCTTATAGGTCGTTTTCTCTTACGTGGTAATTAGAAAGGGGATTACAAATGGAACTAAGAAGAACTGGCTAATCATATCAGTCCTTTCGAAACTTGATGAAGAGGGAAAGTAAAAAGAAAGGAAGCAGGCAGTCAGAACGAGCGATGGAGTATGAAAACCTAAAAAATTAAAAACTAAAAATGGCTTAGAAAATGGAAAAGAAAAAAATAAAAGAATGCAGGCAGAAAATGAGACAGATGGAAGGAGAGAATAAAATAAAACAAAACAGTCACAAGTGGGAGGTAAACAGAGGTAGGCAAAACGGAAAAGATAAGTAACAGAGAAGAAACAGAAAAAGTAGAAGAGGTTGAAGAGGTACAAGATAAGCATGAAAGAATAATAACAACTATAAAGAAAAAACAAAGAAATAAACGAAGAAAGAGAAAAATAAAAACACATCAACACTACGGAGAATATAGAACGAAAAAGAAAAAGTTGAGGTACAATGAGAACCAGAACTATAAGAAAAATGAAAATTACATGATAAGGAAGAAAAGGTAGAATTATGAGAAAGAAAAGTAGAAAAAAAAGACAAGGAAGAAAAAACGAAAAAATGACGAGTAAGCAGAAGGAAAACGAGACCAGAGAAAAGAAAAGAAAAAGGGAAACGAAATACAGAACGAGCAGAAGGAAAAGAAAGGAAAAATGAAGCAGAAAAAAGTACCAGAAGCTGTTTGGAATCTAGACGGGTTTAGAAAGAAGGGCGTTTACAGGAAGATACAGAGTGAAAAAAGGGGATAAAGAAAATACCGCGAACAGAGATGGAGAATAATCAGAAGTAAGAGAATGAGATCAGGATAAATACGTCAAATAAACAAAGAATGAGTATGAGAAACAGAAAGAGAAGCACAGCAGGAAAATGGGCAAAAAGAAAGGAAAAGTAGAAGGGTAAGACTAAATCTTTGCCAGATAGGAAGCATAAATGACACAAAAAAAACAAAGTGCTTGAATTGCCAACACATACCACTGGCTTCTCTGTCGCCGCCGACCATCGAACAAACTTGGTTGATGAGCCGCTGAAGAACATCGACAATGTCCGCTTCGACGGTGTGCGAATACCGTTCTAACATGCTTAGCCGCCTGTCGACCAGAACTTCTTGCAATTCGCCACAGGTGCCATCCAACAGAAGGCCACTTTGACCTGAAAGATCTGAATGACATCAAAACAGACAACAACTACAGGATGAAAGAAACAGCCAACTATCCCAGCTAGGATATAAAACTCGGTTTATTACTGGACTTATATTTCTTGAAGGTTTCAATTATTTTAACCAGACTTCGTTGTCATGCTTTAAATATAACAGAATTCAACAGATTTTGCCGACAGGACCAGTAACTTTCTCGTCAGTAAATATTTCAAATATTTTTAGAGTGGAGTTGGCTGCAGTCCTTTTTACTGCCGTCGAGCGCAGCTGTTGTGTGATAGGAGGGTCAGCTAGATTAACAAACAATGACGAAGTGATAAATAAACATTTAATAACAACATTTTAAAAACTAAACAACATATCGAGATAAATTCTCACCGTTTAAGCCGAATCTAGGCACGTGAAGAAGCTTTACTTCGTTTAAGGCACTGGTTGTTGAAGTTTTCTTTTTTCGGCTACGCTTCTTCTTCATCTTGGCCTCTGCAAATAACACAAATAAATAATTTAAGCACAAAGAGCACATTATCACACAGTTTCGAATATAGACGGTGAAACTCCGAAAGCAAGATACGGAACTTCATTCAGGTGAGAAATGCTGGCAGAAGGTTTACCTGCTGATTTCTTTCGACAGGCGAACTTACATTTACGAAATTTCATAACATGATCATAATGTTCTTAAAATTAGTTTCGTTTATTCGTCTATCACATAATTCTGTTATCGACAGTTGAACAGGTAAAACATTCACATTGTGATATTATGCAACACTTCTTAGCTCCATGAGTTCTCGTGTCAAAGATTCAAGATAAGCCTGATACCATATGCGAAAAATCTTGAAATGTAATGAAGTTGTAAGAAAAGTTATACAAGCTAAGGATATATAATCAGTCAGAGCAGTGAACAAAGGAGATCCGATTGACATTCCCTTATATTGATGACATAACTCATTAAGTCGCGTAAAATTCATTATTTCTTTGAAGACGGAGAGAGTTTGGTTCAAAACGTAATTTTAATAAAATGTTACGGGGCGGTCTCCAGTTTGTTGCTTTCCTAAAATATGTTTATATTATACAAGTGCAAGCTGATATGAGGGGCAACGTTATCATGTCTATTTCATTTCCTACGCTTTTGAAGGAAGAAACATGTCGACAACAAACTCGAATTGGATTCAACATAACATTTAAGTAACGAGTATCTGCTTTCAATGTTTTATGTGGAGAAGTTTGACTCGATTAACGGAGTCGTGTTAAAAGGAACATGCTAGGAAAAAGAAGATATTTCTAGCATACAAATATAAATTGCCA